TACATAATACACAGACAATATAGAATCATGAAGTGCTTGAATTAATACAAAATGATTTACATAAATCTCATAAGTCATATTTTAAGGACATTGTGGCACCACACAATACAGTTTTGCTATAGTGAATTATTATTATAGAAACTGTTCAGAGTATATCAGAATAATGCAGAATTATTAATGAATGAATTAATAAGATAAAGACTTGAGCAATTTACAGAAAAGACACTTTAAGTATTTAATTTCTTATGTCATGCTAATAAGCTCAAACCTGGTGGAAACCAAATTTCATACAGCTGGAGTTGCTATATAATAAATTTGGTATATAATAAATCATAACAAATACACACATTTTGACCACTACCTTTTTCACAACATCAGTCAGTCTCATATGTTCTGAGTTCGAGTCGACAAGTTATTTTGACAATGAATGTGTGTCATAGGTCAACAAACCTTTGTCCTTCTTCACCTCAAACATTTTACATCCTGAACAGAATCAGACCATCCCAAACTAGACCAGACCAGACCAGACCACATTACCACTAAAGACTAGCATAGACCTGCTGCCTGTCAACCACACATCAGAATAAGGTCAGCAGGTTTACAGTGATGATGAGGATTTAGAGTAAAATCTCTCCACAAACATGCTGGCGTCTAAACCTAAGAATTAGTCTTCCATATTAATGGCAATACCTGGCACTTACTCAATAATCTTCTATGTAAACAGTTATTTTAACCACTTGCTTGGAGTTCAATAAAAATAAAAACACTGTTACATGCAATAAGAACACAACAGATTTTCGAAACTCTTTTGCTTATTTAAAAGTTGTACCAGATTGTATTTCAACAGTCATATTGAAACATCAGCATTAATAGCATACTAAATGTCCAGTTGCCTCACCAGTGTAACATAGTTCAACATGTCGGACAATCAAGCACTGTCTTCTCAAAAATAATCACAATCTTGAGCAATATCTGTTGGTATAAATACCTTGGTATAAAAGCTCTCACAATGGAAGGACATGATTTGTATTACATACATGTGCTTGGAATAAGTGACCCAGGAAGGAAGTCTCCATAAGAGGAAAAAACGTGAGCGAGGGTCAGAATAAGGGAAATTAGAGATAAGATTAATTTATTTACACCATGTATGCTATTCGACAGCCTACCACATGTGCCTTGTGAGTTTTACCTCATGCGTTTATGTACACAGTAAATAAACCAAGGAACACTCAATCCAAGACACAAATCAGGTGACTCAAATGTAACAGTGAGTCAGAACAATATTTTTCTCCTAATGAGCTGACTATAGACCACTAGGAACTGTTTAACCATTTAATCAGAAGATTAAATATTAGAAATGTTTATTAAATACACAAATTACGCATAAAACCCATCACCTGAGCGATCAGAGGGCGGCACACTTTTTCTGATTTTAGAGCAGTTATCTTTATGACAGCATGTGGAAATGACGTGTTTTTCTTGAGGAATCATGCTGTAGAGGAAAGGTCACAAATCTGATGATCCAGTAGTGGTCTATCATGACTATGAATTCTTTTATCAGTGAGATTACCTGAACATGAAAGCTAAACACTAGGAACTACATATAACAAAAGGAAATAACAAAAACTGTGATAAAGTTAAAGAGCTATGTAAATGAAGCATCACTGTTCAAGCAGGCCAACCAACTTCCCTGCAAAACATGTGATGAGATAGTTTGACCAAAGTAGATAGTTTAGTATGATATTTAAAGATTAAAATAACTGTTCTTTAGGAAACACTGTGTTTCACACAATAAGCACAGTAGCATAAATAAATAAAAGGTATTTTCCTTAAGATAACACAAGCTCAATTTTTTAAACACCAAAGGTTTTCTATGAAGTGCTATTTAGGTCTTTTCTGCCTGCTTCCCTTTTACAATATAGTGCATGTTCCACCTCCTATTGTTCCATATTCAGAGAAATCAATAGACAATACATCTAACAAAGTGGTTTCTAATATTACATGCAGTCCGGATATGCCCATTGTTTGTACACTCTTTACATTAACAAGCATTATATTCCATTGGATTTTTTCCCACACTAATTAGTCCATTATATAACACAGCAGTCTAGAATGCTTGATTCTTATTGGCTGAAGGGCGTTTGAATGTTTTTCAATAACTGCACGGTTGAAGTAGTTCCAGTTTTGACCACATTCCAGTTCCATATCACTTCACAAATTTATTTAGGGTCTTTAGATTCACATACACACTGGGAACGACATAAAAAAGGAAATAAAGAAAACTTTGATGAAGTTAAACAGCTCAATGATGGGTAAATGATCAAGCAGGACCACCAGCACTGTTTCATATCACTTTGCCAATTTATTTCAGTTGTTTTAAAAAGCCTAAGAGCCTACAACTACTAAAACACTGGCCAAGCAAATAAATCTATCACAAATGGCCTTTAACCTCTCACTACAGATATCTGTTGTGTGATACTTAAAAAAAATAGAACGATCCATGAACTACCATAGAACAAGATTGTACAGATTAGTACATGTGTTGTCACATGGCTTTACCTGTATCCCACTGAGTTTAACAGCCATGTGCTGCCTGGCTCAGGTAACCACAGCAGGTGCTGCTGCAGTGAGCTGGAGGATCAGGTGAGGCCCTGTGTGTGTCATTACCATAGTCCTCATTAGACCCCACGGATGGCCTGTAACCAGACACGAAGCCAATCTGAGCAAACAAGAACACTCGCACAAATATTGTCAAGCTTAGCCAGAAAAACCAATACAGACTTCTTCCTAATGAAAGACTAAATGGTGCTCCGTCAGGTGATTCTTTTGCAAATCAGCTTTGAAATGTTTTAAGCATGCAGGCTAATCTGATTTTCCAGCAGGATATCCTGGACTTTAAAAAAAAGAAAGAAAAAAAAAAAGAATAAAATTCCTGTATAAGATGTTTTGATAAGCAAATTCCTGGCTTCAAGAGTTAAGAGTTTACTTTAAGAGTAAAATTCTGTCATCATTGCTTCTGTCATATTTGAAAGTCTTTCACAAAACAAGATATTTTGAAAAATGTCTGTGTACTTTTATGAAAGTAAAAACGGTCCAATGGTAATTTGGCCTCAATGACTTTCGTTGTATGAAAAAAAGCATTGAAACATTCTTCAAAATATCTTCTTTTGTCTACTACAGTAGAAAGTCATGCAGGAACAAAATAACGGTGAGTAAATGACAACTTTTTTGACAGCTTTTTTCTAGCATCAAGTTGTCAAATGTGGAAATGCTAATGAAATAAACTGTTCAAGCCCACTGAAAACTATTTCTACCGCTAGCATTGAGCACAAGTGTCATAAACCATGATACATACAATGGGTCTCAAATACATATCTTCCTATAAGCCTATACAGGCTGTATTCTAAATTAAATAGGTTCTCTGGCAGATGTTCATAGACTGGACCATCACAGGAGTCCCACTGCCTTGCTCATGGTTCATGACATTTCCTTCTTTAACTGGCCTTTCCTTATCAAGGGTATAAGATACACACATGCAAAGTATTTAAGATTTCTCCAGAATGTCAATGCATTATAAATTGCCATTCTACTATGGAGACATTTCCTGTGACCTCTTATAGCAGCTGGAAAGGATGTCATTCACTAAGGAAGTGGACATTACCATGTTAGCCACTAACATCTGATTTCATCAAAGCAATTTCAGCTAGAATATATATATTTTTTAAACAATGTAAGCTGCTGAGGTTTCTTTAAGCCTCATGTGATTTTAAAACTCTGGCCATTCAGCATTAAAAAGTGACTCACTGTACAAAAGCATAGTCAGTAAAGTAAATCACACAAACCGTGTGACAGTCATGATGTTAACAAACATTATGTTAACAACCATTACTTCCACATTAGAAATCAAGCCAAACTGGCTACATCCAGCAGCTTCAGGCTAAAAGTACAGCAAACAAAGAGATTAAGAATTCAATTGACAAACTTCCTCTGTATAAGGATCAGAACACAATGACAAATACTGAGGTCATATTTACGTCATGCTTCCTGCTCCACATTGAGCAGCTGGAAAGGAATTCATATTTTGTGCTATTATTTGTTTCTCAGAATAAAATAATTTAAGACAGATTATAGGTGACAAAATAAAAATATATTTTGAGCCAGGATTACAGTCAAGATACTCAGTCGTACAGATAATCAGACATCAGTGGCTGGTAGATTTGGTTACAAACCCTTTATGGCAAAAGCTAGAAAGATGGCAAGGGGTTTGTATATGAAGTATTAATATGTTTGGGTCTTACAGTTGGTACAGTGTGATTCAACAACATGACTAAGCAAACAAAATCAACTCTTTGAAATAAGATACATGAATTCCCCCCTCCCCCCTTGAATGGTGTTCACATACATCAGTGAGATTCTTTGTGACTCTGACAAACTTCCTAAAATATTTCGACAGCATAGTGCAACTTTTTCACAAGGCCGCAAAAACAGTGAATGAGAGCATACACAGAAATTGTCAACTCTAACCATTTACACAAGTCTGCTATAATAACACCCAAGATGAAAAGCTAGAAAACCTTTGAAGCTACAAATGATTAGCTAAATAAAGCACATACAGTTTGTACTTTGCCTAGCCACACATTTAATGGTGGTGAGGGATTAATTAACTAAGAATATTAAAACAAGGTTTAATTTGCAGTTTAGAAAACAGTATTCACAGAAAAAGATCAATGACCATGACTTCTCAGTGTATCCAAAAGGTCAATCTGCAAGTAATGAAAACATTTAGTAGCCTTGTGGTTAGCTATCATAGTCCTAAACTTGGGACTCAAAAAAACAGAACCACCATAAGCTTTTAGATAAAGGCTCTAAAGCTTACTTAAAGCTAAAGCCAGCACCTGAAATCTATATCGCAAAAGAATATTTCTGAAAAAGTGAAATCGTGAAAATGTGAAAGGGTTGTACCAAAATGGCTAATTACACAGTTTAATAAAAAAATAAAAAAATCTGTTGCACCAAATAGTTGTGACTTTTATTGTATGGCTTTTTCAAAATTCCCAATTTAGCCAAGTATATCTCTAGCATGCAGAACACTGCTGGATGTGTAATGACAATTTAACATGTGATTCTTGTGTAAACTGAACACAAAAACTGGCATTGAAAGTTTTACCTGAACATCAACAATTGAGATCTGAACATTTTAAATTTTAATTTTTAATAAAAAAATAGTTTTTGATTTGAACAAGTTTTTATATATACACTTGACATCCAAAAAAGACAAAATATTGAAAACAAAAAAGCAAACTGATTTCTCCTAGACGTTTCCAAGAAGAAAAAAAAAAGGTTAACTTAGAGTCTTTTTTGTTTTTCAATATCTGTCACAAAGTCCATTTGGATTCACCGTATCATATAAGCAAGAGCAGCTCCGAATGTTGCCACACCACCAATGGCCATCAATGTGTTTCTCATAGTTGCCTCTGTATCCGGGACATGAAAAAATTCCACAAAGCCATCCTAAGGAGAAAAATATACATACACCAGGTGAGTACAGGTTACAAACCAAGGAAAACTCAAAATAAGAGCATATGCAGTCCTGTCATGGGGAAATAAAAACTCACCCATGCTTTGTTTTTGAGCAGCCAGTCCCGTTGGTCTGTGAGAAGATAGGAAGAGATCTCTTCCCCCACCAGACTCACACACTTGCCAAGTCCTCTATCATTTTGATGCTTGCATACCATTGCCCCAAAAGTCAGCAGGCTGCAAATGCGCCCCCAGTTTGTGATGCCATCGCTGAAGAGTTCTGTTGCCACAGTCTTGACAAAACTCACATCTTCTCCTTTCTGCTCCAGATTCAGCCGTGCAATCATACCTGAAAGAGTGAAATGTTAAAGGCCACTGCTGACTCATAAATGTAGCAATACATGGCATGAAGTGGCGCAACCTGCCAGGCCAGGTGTGTTGAGGGTGAGGCTGCCATAAGACTCTTTAACAATATTTGCCCTGCTCTTATCAACGCATAAACATTATGAAATAAAGCGAAATGAAAGCCATAGAGCGCTACTTGCTAAAAGGAAGTACTTGTGAAATTACCTTTGTAAGCCAGTTCGTGCTTCACCGCGAGACTGTCCACAACCCGCTTCATCGTAGACAGAACCTGGGTTTTTTCACTTTTAGAATGAGGGAGTCCTGTAAAGCTTTTTAAGAAAGCGTCAATAATCTCTCGCGTGTCCATTTCCAGGGCGGCGTAGATGGAGGTGTAATCATCTATTTCCTCGCAGTCCGTCTCAGGCGAGGATGGTACCGAGCCCTGGAGACCGTTCCCTGTGAACTGGTTCTGGGCTTTCAGTTCTGGCATTACAAGTGGCTTGCGACCAAACCCGCTCGAGCTGTTGTTGACGTTAAGAGCTGCTATTCCAATGCATGGCCAAAAGCCGCTGTCGTTTGAAACTTTACTCCCAGGGAACATTTTCGCTAATTCACATTAATGATTTTAATCCAATTTATCGACGATGTAACTTATTTGGTAGGAAACGACGTCCTTCGAAATTGAAACTACACTCAAATCTACTACATTTTACTTTTGCAAGGCGGACGCGTGTGGGAGAAGCTTGCACTGTTTATATATATACATATATACATATACAGGGGCGGGACTTTTTGTCTGTTGACCAATCACTGACGAAACACGTACTGAACGCAGCTGCGCTGTCGAAACGTTACAACTGGTTCTGCACGTTAAATGCGCCCCACATTCATGTAAAGCCCCCAAATATGTCACAATAATAATATGTTTACATTCTCTTCGCAAAACGGCACCGGGTTTGCATCAGCAGAGGCAATAATAGGCTATATAAAATCATTTGATGTCAAAATGTTTCACAGCTAGGTATTTGGTAGGATTAACGACCATAGTTTATGGACGACCAGAGATGTTCATGAAAACAAGATCTGTATTCTTGTTTGGGTTTAAAAATTCCACCCTATGTTTTTCTTTTCTTGGTCCGCTTTCAGCTTTTCAGAGTGGCGCTCCCTCTAGTGAGAAATAGTTGTAGAACAGAAAAGCAAATTGCGAGCAGCCAAAGCTTCAGATTTCTCAAGGATAAGTTTACATTTTTCGAAGAGCCCCATTTAATTTGGCAAACAATATAGAAATGAGCACACTGGCAACTAGTAGACACGATTTACTTACACTATAATAGAAATACGTTTTTAATATCACAAAAGTACACATATGGACGTTTACATTTCGTTAGAAAAATTTAAAAGTACCACTCAGTGGTTTTGTTATTAATGTAAAACTTTATTTGAAGTTCAGATATAGCTCCAGTATTAATTTTAAACATCTATCTTTACTGCGTGATCTGCCATCCTTCCATGTAAATATAATTGTAATTGAGACCTGGAAAGTTCTGGAAATCCACTTTCAAACACAAAGTAATTCAAGCAAAACATCTGAAACAATAAAGAATATATAAATGGGGCACAAAAATAAAATTATGAAACATTAAAAGCTCCATAAAGTATGCAAAGAATACATCTTTGTGTGTCTAATAGAGAGTGCTTTAAATTGTAGATTTAGAGTTAATATGTAGTTACCATGAATATCACATTGCAGTGTATAGTGGAAAGGTTTTCAGTTCAGATTTGTCTGAATTTACTCCAGCCAATTACAAAGCTGTCTTTAATTACAATACAAGCATTTCTAATCCCCAATATTTACATTTCTCACACTAGAATTGATGATATTCTTGTCGATATGTTGCATCAAAAAGCAGAGATTCAGACACACAATATTAACAAATAAAAGGTCAAACACAAACTTGGTGTATATTGGAAAGACAACTGAGACAGATAATGCAAGACAAAATGCACAAATATGACACCAGATGCACAGTTTGACTATTTACAATTTGGCTGCAGCACAAAATAAGATTATCTCCTAGCATTGTGCAATAACGCATTCCTCAAAGGAAACATTGTACATCCACACATACCATCAAGTGACAAAAAACTAAGTGCAAGACCATCATATTTCCCTGATGTATTGCCAACTGCCACCAGCACCTCAACCATACATGAAAAAACACATTCAATCCCTTACATGTAATTCACCTTTTAGTGAGATTTACATAGTGATAGTACAGTATTTTTTTTTTTACCATTAATATACATGTTTTTGTTAACTTCACATGGCTAAACACATTTTCTTTTAAATCTTCAGGCCACATGTAGGCGAGTATGTGGTTTTAGAAGGGGCAACTTGATTAGACTATGCAAATCCTGATTTAAGACACCTGGATTGACTGCCAAGATTGAGTCTAGATTTGCTCTGTAAAGTATCTATCCTCATACTAGGACTCTGTAAGGAGTGTACGAAGTCTTACAGCCTGGAATAAATGAGCTGTCAAGATCCACTACAAAGTTTCCAATGATTTACAACAGCCCTGCACAGACTTCTTCAGACTCTGAAGAAGCTACAGAGGATAATCGATTCATGCCCTCTGAAGAAGGACACTTTGCTAAATGATGAGAAAATTGAGGAAACAAATGGGTTACAGGATATAATATTCCCTAAAGTCATTTGTATAACTGCTGTTGGTTTGAAACCCGATAATAAGCTGCATGTCAAAGCAATCTATGGGTAATGTTTTCCAATACTTTTTATATGTTTAAATGTAACTTTGTCCAAATTTAAGTAGAGAATTTTACTGTTTAGATCTGAAATATTTTACAAATATTGAACCAAAGGTGCTGCTTAATTCTGCAAATTTCCTTCCGCATCTCATTCCTCAAAACACAAAGATATTTAGGATCAAATCGACTAATTTGGTTAAGATGGACAAGATGATTACGTCGTCATTATCTGAGATGATCAAAGAGGTCATGTGCATCACATTACATATGCGTCGAAATATCACAAAATATCGCACATTAATCCCATTAACAAACACTGCTGTTAGTGTACATAAAAGCTGAATGACTCCAGATGCCCTAATGATTTAACACATATAGCCACTACTTTCTATGAACATACTTTATCTTTTAACGCATGCTTTGTGCGATGACAAGATCATTTTCTTAAGCCCCTTTCATTATCATGCCACATTCAAAGACCATTTCTGCTCTTGGCTATTATCAGTGAATTACAACATTCTCTGTTTACACCCAAAAGCTGCGATTACAATAATCTAATCAGCCTGATTGGAACCGCTTGCTCAGATCCAACCATGGAAGGTGAAGGCTGAGAATAGTAAAAACAATCCAGTCATAAGCAGCCGTTATTTGGTTCAACTGAGCCATATTTAGAGAGTGAGAGGTAGAAGAGCGGATGAAGGCTACACAGCTGCCAGCCACTCTTTACCAAAATTGCTCTGACCATTTGTTCACTGACTTTTTCCAAGAAATTCTCATAAAACATTCATTCATTTGTCATTATGAATGAAAAAGAGGGCTTCCAATGTACATCTGGGGCCAGTGGCTGTCAAGTATTATCTATATAGAAAACAATGCCTTTTAAAACAATCTTAAATCATTTTCAAATTATTTGACACTTTTAAAAGCATCTTTTGAACAGCATTTTATGAAGTCTTCAGGGTTTTGTTCATAATATCACTGATGTACAGGGTACACAGAGTAAAGTGCATCATGCTCCACCGGGGCCTGAAGTACAGAGGGTTTAGTTTATTCCTACTCTATGCGGGACACTGAAAAGGGTAACAGAGCTGGGTTGGTTAGACCTACTGAAGTGAAACGAAAATGACAGCAAAACTCTACACCCAAATGAAAACAAATACAACCAAATAAATTGATAACCAGTCTGACGAAGCTGGTCTGGTGGGGCTGGGGAGGTTTTGGAAGTTTGGTAAGAGGGTTTATTCAAAACCTATGGGTGACGTTAGCCTGCCAGTTTACTTGTTACCAATGAGGACTTTCTCTGCGGAAGGTCTTGAGGGGTTGGAATGTGATCCCCGGTGACGATGTTCTTGTCCGGACCGGCTGCGGCAGGCAACTGTTTGTTCTTCATCTTTGCCTTGGCCATGTTGTAATCTCCTGAGTCAAAATACTTTTGCTGGAGACAAAAATTGAAATTTTATGAAATAATAAAAAGGTCGTGTTTGTTTTGGCTATGTTGCAAACACCTGGAACGTCAACAATCTGTATGAATGAATGCCTTTAAAAACATACTTTTTCAGTTGTTGAAATGTTTAAACTTACCCCTTTCTGCAGTCTCTTCATCAGGAAGTCAGAGCCACCTGGCTTTTGACCCAAGCTGGGATACTTTGCTTTCAATTTGGCCTCCTCTGTCCGCACAGGGTTTGAGTTTGTGTCCTGGGATTCCTGAAAAACATTTATTGCGATGTGTAGTTATTAGATATTAGTATAAATGCTTTAAAAAGTCTTAGTGTAAAATTCTTATATGCACACTGCTGTTCAAAAGTTTGGGGATAGTATGTTTTTTTTTATATTTCTGAAAGAAGTCTCTTATGCTCATCAAAGCTGTATTTATTTGTTCACAAATACAGTATACACTATTTTTGTGAAATATTATTACACCTTAAAATAAGTCTGTAATTTTCACATGATCTTCAGTGTCACATGATCTTTCAGAAAACATTCTAACATGTTAATTTGGAGCTCAAGAAACATTAATTATCATCAATGTTAAAAACAGTTGTGCTGCTTATTTTTGTAGAAAAACCATGATACATTTTAGATACATTTCAGGATTATTTAATGAATGGAAAGTTCAAAAGAACAGCTTTTATTTGAAATAGATTTTTTTGTAACAATGTAAAAGTGTTTACTGTCACTTGATCAGTTACTGCATCCTTGCCATTTAAAAGTATTTTTTAAAGAGGTATGAGATGATTTTGAATTAGTTTATGTAAACAATCTTTATAAAACAGAAAAAGTAGTAAGCTTTCATTTAGTCTTACTACCATGACTATAAAGAGGATTTATTTATAAATGTATTCACTTTTTAACGCCATGCCAGCATCAATTTTCATGGCGATCTCTGAATAAATGATACAAGGTATACAATTAACAAAAGGTTATAAAAGAAATCTCAGATGTACACTACACAAAACTTCTAAAATTCATTCAGGTGATACATTTTTAAATATGCTAAATCAGTTAGACACACCTCTGAATAAAACCGTTTTCTATTTACATTAAAACCATTACAATCCAATAAAATATGTTTCACAGTCATTTTAGTTTGACAAGTAAGGCATGATGGTGGTTCTTCACCTTTAAATAAATATCCGCTATAAAGAGGAAGAAGGAACAAACTAATAATCAACACTCAGCTGATAAATATCACACCCACAATATAACAACACAACAATAAAACCCCTTTCATCATGTTATTGTTCCTCCAGTAATTCCCAAAAGGTGTGACCATTAATCACATTTCAGGGCAAGGTACAGCAAGACTGTTTAGCTTGGCATTAAATTCCCAGGTGTTTTCTGACTTTTCATTATGGAAACTAAATTTTGGTTTCAATCTGAATGTCTGGAAATTCTATCATTCGAGTTTAGACTATTTGTAAACATCTTCACATTTCTGTCTTGTGGTGTGAGATGAGATCATTGTTTTGAACAGT